ATAGACATACACTATTTATATATATATATATATATATTTTTTTTTTTTTTTTTTTGTTATTTATAATTTTTTTTTTTTTTTTTTTTTAGTATTATTATAGGTATGAAATTCGCCTGTTAATCCATACTCATCGTCTAGGATTTATTTGTTTGCCAAGAAATCTAGAGTTTTTAAAAAAGCTACTTCAAATACCCCGTTTGTTTCCCATTATTCGAACACAGGAATTAATTTTTTTGCCCTTTTTTTCAACACATGGGTCCCACTGTGAGATGTTGTTGTCAAAAATTACGACTACTGCTACGTGTAACGGTTGGAATTTTCATTAAAATAAGGTAAAAAATTGGTCCCAAACAGGGACTTAATTAAAAATTGTAAATTATAGTATCGACTTATTTACTTCTACCTCAAATCAATTTACATTGAAAGAAATTGTTAAATTGACGAAAAAAGACAAATGCATCATCAAACTTAAATTTTTTAAAAAAATACAAAAATTAAAACATAGCTGCAAATACATTAAATTTACACTTTTTCCAAGGAGTGCAAACGAATTTTTTCGTTACACTCAATAACAACAAACATCATTTCTACATAACTCACATCTTTTTATATAAAAGAAAAATATTTGATACCCAACTTTTTTATGGATATATTTCATCAACTTAATTGGTAATTAGTGGTTGAAGCGAAAACCCTGTGTCTCATGCCGTTATTAGCTTCTGAAGTAGACATCATGGAAGCTCCGGAGCAGGTTTTTGTATAGAACAAGTTGTCCAAAGCCACCGCCGCCGCTGGCTCCTGGAATTCGGATCGCGTTCTATGGTGGGAGGAGCCGCCCTCAATGGACTTATCTCCGCCGTGCAGGAGGTGGTAGCTTCTGGTGGAGCTGTCGGAGAGGCACCGATAAGTGTGTTGCGGCCTCTGCTTCTTGATGGCGTGGAGGAGATATGGGATCAAGCCTTCCATTTGTTTGAAAATCTTTAATCTTTTGTAATGAATTATGATTTATGAATGTGAAGTAAAATTTCATGTATTCAATATTTATAGCTGCAATGAAGTGGATACAACCCGCTGCTTTTGACTGGCTCTCTCATGCAAAAAACCAGCGGCAAATGTGATCAGTGGATTAGTATTCGACACAAGGTTTTTTGTAGTGTTGATCATGACGGCTCATCTAAAGTCAAAACTCAAATAGTGGATGGCTTGTTTGGCTGGGCTTTATAAAAGTCAAAAGTCACTTATAAAATAAAATAAGAACATTCTCCATAGCTATACGATAGATAATTTTTGACAAAATTATAAGACCATTTAATTGTATAGATGCGAAATCGGTAGACATAGAAAGACGGAATCTCTATGCATGAGTTCTCTCTCCCCAAAAACCTACAATGACTAATTCTAAATAAAAGAAAGGTTCGATCAGTACAACTTCTTTCTCTCGGAAGCGATTGAATTGAGAGAAAACAAGAAGTCAAGCGCCTGAGAACGAGTCGTTAACAAAAGATAAAGATAAATAACATTATTCATAAAATAAGTATAACAGTTGTACTGCACCATTTGGGCAGTGTCAAAATGAAATTTGGTGGCTTGTTTTGAATTGAATTCCCAGTTATACCTTCACTAGCTCTTAGTGGCCAATTAGGAGTTTTCATGTGTTTTGGTCAAATACCTAAACCAATCATTCCCCAAGTATTAATAAAGATGAATCCAGATATTATGATTAAAAACTTATCTAATTATGATGAAAAATTTGAATTTTGCCAACAAGATAAAGATAGGAAACTTCATCACTATGAAACCATCCTTGTCTTCCTGGAGAATTTTTCGCCCCTTGTATATGTTTTCTTCCTGTTGTTCGACTTCAACGAAATGTTTTTGTTTATCAATAAAAATGGTAGACGAAAATTAAAGTCAACAAATGCACACTTAGTTTAAAGGATAAATATCAATGTTCTTAGTAAAATAAATAGTTAGGACATTTAATATAGACATAATGAGATCATTAATCTGGTTATAGAGATCTATTAATTAACCTCCTTCTTCATTGCTTTTTGCCACCCTAATATTGAAATTGTACTTTACTTGGCGTTCACTGGAAGAACCAACCACAAATGTATGCTGACCAGTGATCAATTTTCTCTTCCCATCTGCATCAGCAATGCTCAAATCCTTGCAAACATCTAACTTTAATGTAACAGTGTTATTTTTCCTTCTCTTCACCTCCACTCTATCAAATCCCACCAGCTGTATATTGGGTGCTCCGGTCACGACTGATGTGTTTCCCGGCTTCCAGAACAAGAGCACGACGTGGGACCCATCAAAGTTTCCGTCATTTTTAACCCCGATAACCACCTGGAATTGTAAGTCCTGGCAGTCCACTGATGTGACATCAATGGCTTGGCCATTTGGTTGAGTGTTCAAGTTTGAAGAAAGAATATCTTTACTTGAATTAGTGGATTTTTGCTTAATAAGGATGGTGGAAGGTGAAGATATTACAAACTTGGAAAATGTTGTGTAACTTAGGCCATGGCCAAATTCATAGATGGCTTTTCCATTGTAGAATCTGTAGGTTCTTCCTGGAAAGTTTTTTGAAGCATTAGGCCTCATATTCATGTCGGTCATTGGCACTTTATCTACATATTCCTGTGGGTACCAAGTAAAAGGAGACCTCCCACCTGAGAAAAAAGAACGTTACATGCACGGTTAGGATGCAGTACTGGGTATAACTCGACAGTTCAATAAAGAAGGTTTAAATTTCTTTGAGCTATATCCTAAGGAATGTGAATTTCACATTCATAATTAACTTAGAAGAAAGAGAGACCTGGATTATAGTCTCCGAATAGGATTTGAGCTATGGCAGAACCTCCATCTTGACCAGGATATCCCACCCACAGAATCGCCCCAATGTTACTATTTTTCTTCGCGAAGGAAATATCAACTGGACTAGCTGACATGACAACAAGGATCACAGATCCGTTTGTTGAGTTAGCAACTTCATTTACAAGCTTCTCTTGAAATCCTGGCAACGTCAAGTTTATTCTATCCAGCCCTTCTCTTTCGATGGACTGGTCAAGCCCCACCACGATTATCACCACATCAGATGCAGCTGCCGCCTTTGCTGCAGCCTCAATTTGGCTGTCCTTGTTGCAGCCCACATCAGAGCATCCCGGCTCGTATGTGATAGATGACACGTAATTTTGCAATCCCTGTAAAGGAGTAGTGTATTGACATGGTACACCGGCATAGTTACTTATCATGGTTGAGGTGACATTAGCGTTGGGACCTATAATGGCTAAATTTTTTGTGTCATTTTTAGACAAAGGCAGAATCCCATTGTTTTCTAGCAACACTATTCCCTGTTTTGCAGCTTCAACACCCAACAATTTGTGATCTTCTGTGCATACATCAGACGGTCCCAATTTTCCAAATGGAAGCATTTTGGAGTCTCCATCAAAGAAACCAAGTCTCATTAGTACTATGTAGTTGTATATTAGAGCCTGATCTACAATTGATTCATCCACCTTGCTTAATTTCACTGCATTCTCTGTGTACCTGCCTAGAAAATCTCCACAATTCATATTCAAACCTGCACTACGATGTAAAAACGAGTCTCTAGTAATCTGAAACGTTCAATAAAAATGATATATATATTTATATGAAAAAATGTGGTTCATAGTTGATAATACCTGCTTTGAGGGCAAGTGCAACAGCATCCTCCCGTGTGGCAGTGTAATTTATAGAATCGTAATAAACCTCGATAGAATCACAATCTGAAACAATGTATCTGTATTGAGCAGGAAAGTTCAATTACTGGCTGCCATAGTTGTATAGAAATGTCTCTATAGCTTATCAAACAGTCATATGCGCGTAATTATGAACTTCTATGCTAATGGGGCTCTTATTTTACTTGGGGAAGAAACATACCCATCTAGACCCCATTGCCCTCTGATTACTCCTTTAAGAAGATTTGGATCAGCACAAGTAGGAATTCCATTCACCCTGTTGTATGAACACATTACACTGCTCACATGTCCCTCTTCTACACAGCTCTTAAATGGTGGCTGAAATGTATCCTCCAAATCCTGTGGTGTCACCTGAAAAAATGGATTAACAAAAAAAAGAATAAGCAGAAGTTAATTACTTAAAATCCATTCTTCTTCAAATTTCTTTACTTTTTCTCGTAAAATGTAGGATATCTACCTTAGCGTCAAAGTGAAATCGATCAACGCCTTTCCAGTTATCGACATCATAGGCAGTATAATGCTTGCAACAACTCGAAACTTTAAGACTTTCACTGCTAAAATTTCCCTCCTGTCCCGTTTCTTGCAAACCTCGAACATAATTGACAGCATATTTTGCAACTACAAGAGGGTCCTCCCCTGGAGTCTCCTGACCCCGTCCCCATCTAGGATCACGAAACACGTTCACATTAGGACTCCAGAATGTCAGTCCAGCCAATCCCACATTGTACATTGCTCGACCCTCAGTCGACACAACTTGTCCCAAAATGTACCACAGGGAAGAATTAAAACTTGCAGCTGAAAGAATAACTGATGGAAAACTAGTAGCGCCAGGCACCGTTTCATTGAAATGTACACCAGGTCCCGTGTTAGATACTCCATGAAGGGCCTCGGACCACCATTCATAGGCCGGGATACCAAGCCTTGATATGCCTGTGGCTTTGTTGACTAATTGTTGCACCTTTTCTGTGAGATTCAGGCGCGAAACTAGATCCTTTGCTCGATCTGCATATGACAAAGACGTGTTACAGAAGGCGAAGTTGCTCGTGGTAGAATCATTCTTGTCACACGCGTATTGATGAGAGATACTTGGGATTACAGTGAGGAGGAGGAGGGAAAATAACCAAACATGAATGTTCATGACTTAATTCCTTAGCTATATTTCTATATTTTTACTATGGCCGAATAAAATATGTAGTTCCCAATTTATATTAGATATTGAGTGTCAAATTTCCATTTTACCTATTGGCTTGTGCAGCAAAACAAGATGTTACTTTTAACTTCAGCATACAGAATAGCTTGTGTTTTTGTTTCTTAGCTTTGGAGATATTAAGAATGCTTGTCAGAAAAGGGACTTATATTTGATCTTTACTCGTGTCATTTCAATACCTATGCAGGGCGTAGCAAAAAGACGGTAATTCCGTTAGATTCCTACTCTAAAACGAATTGTAGGAGGTGGGTTCTGTGGTTTGTTAGAATCGTAATAGAATCTAAAAAGTTGAAAGAAAAGTGGATGTAGTTCGTGAGGAAAAATCGATATAAATTTCTACATTTGCATTGCCTGTTTTTCGACTTTCATCGACACATTCACCATTTTAACTGTTAACTTGAGAATATAGGGAAAGAAAACCTTATTGGCTTGATTGTGTTGTGCTTTTGTGGGCAACTTGACACCTGTGATTCTAGTGGTAACTTATAATCAACAGAAATTCTTTGCACTGTGAACAAAGTTAATGTTGTGAAGTAAAAGGATTCAACTCACGCAAGACACAATTAAAAGGAGCCTTTGAAGAAATCATAAAAATCACAAGAGTGTTAAGTTGGTTGTTGGAAGCTAGAGATTTGATCGAATAAAAGTTTAATAAATGCCTAGAAATACAATTATAAGTGATCAAACCCAAAATCAATATAGTGCAGAAAGTAAAACTTGCAGAAATTAAAATAAGAAAACAGAGATTTGTTTATACCGAAATT